ATGGGATGAAATAAGACAACAGAGTGAAATAATTATGCCCTTGCTCATTAGTGAGTAAGCTGCTGGCCTGGAGGATATCCTTAGGTTATTTTACTGGTAACGTTTTCTCTGACAAAGCTTATTTTTATAATTGTCTGTTATGCCAACTTGCCTGATTGGTTTAATAACTAGTTTTAGATTTTTTTCGCTTTTTTTCGCTTTTTTTGGTAACTGATATAAGATCAAGGAAGTTTATTTTATTCTGTAGATAAAACATGTTTCACAAGTTTTGCGCAAACTATGTTTTGTTATTATTTCATACACAAATATGTTAATGAAGCTGTAAACGATGTATTATTGTTGCTTGAATTTCTCCACCTACATAATATGTTATCTCGTACGTTGTAGCTAGCAACCAGAGTTAAATTATAATTTGGTTTCCCTAGTGTAAACACAATTATGTGTGATTCATGAAGTTATTATGTTTGCTGAACCCGTATTACAGTTGTAATTGTGCTAGAAAGCGCTGCTACATGATTGAATTATTTCTGCAAATAATTTTCCAGAACATAGCCTATCAGTCTTCTAAAGGTTCAAGAAAATATTTTATCCGTGGGGTTTTGTACACAAACATAACAATAATTTTAAAATAAGTTATATTTAAGTATAAGTTATACATAAGTTACAAAAGGGTGGAATTTATTTGACATAGTAGACCACAAGGTTTTGGGGTTTATCATGTATAATTTCTGACAAACAAAATACTGGTCGACGAATTACTAGCGTTTATTAACATTACCCAACGTTTTATTTTTATGTAGACAATTGGTTTAGGTATTTTTTTCGATATGTTTTTAGTGCTAACCTTCAAGCCTGTAAGTTACTCATGAATAATTTCTGACAAACAAATACTGGTCGACGAATTACTAGCGTTTATTAACATTACCCAACATTATATGTTTATGTAGACAATTGGTTTGGGTATTTTTTTGATATGTTTATTGAGCGGAGCGAGCGAAGCGAGCGAAGCTCTTATACGTCGACTTTTATGCATTTCGTAATACGCAAACTCCTCCTAGACGGCTGAATCAATCGTTTTCAAATTTTGCATGGTGATAAAGACCATATCGGTGAGTGCCAACATCTATATGGCGTTAAAAAAGTCTCTCAGGAATCCGCCCCACTGGGTCTCAAAGTTTCAATGTAATCCATATGGAAGCAGTATTTGACACATAAACAAAGACATATGATCAGCTGTTGACTTTTCAATGCAGTAGATCAATAAATAGCTGTTAGCATTATTCCACAGATATTAGAACATAAACGGTGGTATGGATCATAAATATAATCAAATGACGACACTAGCTTGAGGTCCGTGACGTAGGAAGTGGTGAAGGAAGTAGTAAAGGTGAGCAGTCTGGAGTGTGAAAACTGTTTAAGACGATTAGATTTAGGTAGGTATCTGCATTCCTAAAATTCTATGAGAAGGGTGGAAACGGGTCCGTGACGTAGGAAGTGGTGAAGGAAGTAGTCAAGGCGAGCTGCCCGGAGTGTGAGAACTGTTTATGACGATTAGATTAAGGTATCTGCATTACTAAAATTTTATGGGAAGGGAGGAAAACGGGTCCGCGACGTAGGACGTGGTGAAGGAAGTAGTCAAGGTGAGCTGTCCGGAGTGTGGAAACTGTTTATGACTATTAGATTTAGCTATCTGCATTCCTAAAATTCTATGGGAAGGGGGGAAACAGGTCCGCGACGTAGGAAGTGGTGAAGGAAGTAGTCAAGGCAAGCTGTCCGGAGTGTGGGAACTGTTTATGACAATTAGATTAAGGTATCTGCATCCAAAAATGCTATTGGAAGGGAAGGAAACAGGTCCGCGACGTAGGAAGTGGTGAAGGAAGTAGTAAAGGCGAGCTGTTCGGGGTATGGGATCTGTTTATGACCATTAGATTATGGTATCTACAATCCTAAAATGCTATGGGACGGGAGGAAAACAGGTCCGCGATGTACGAAGTGGTGAAGGAAGTAGTCAAGGCGAGCTGTCCGGAGTGTGGGGACTGTTTATGACAATTAGATTAAGGTATCTGCAATCCTAAAATGCTATTGGAAGGGAAGGAAACAGGTCCGCGACGTAGGAAGTGGTGAAGGAAGTAGTAAAGGTGAGCTGTTCGGGGTATGGGATCTTTTTATGACCATTAGATTAAGGTATTTGCAATCCTAAAATGCTATGGGAAGAGGGGGAAACAGGTCTGCGACGTAAGAAGAGGTGAAGGAAGTAGTAAGGTGAGCAGTGTTCAGTTTGGGAACTGGAAACCGTTTGTAGCAGTTAGATTAATGTATCTGCAATGCTGAAATGCAATGAGAAGGGATGGAAGCATGGCCACGACATAGAAAATGGGGAAAGAAGTAGTAAAGGCTAGCAGTGCGGAATGTGGGCAATAGTTGTGGCAATTAGATTAACGTATCTAAAATACTAAAATGCTATGGAAAGTGATGAAAACAGGTCCACGATGTAGGAAGTGGCTTAGGAAGTAGTAAAGTATGAACATATTGTGAGAACCGTCTGTGGCAGTTAGATTAATGTATCTTCAGTCCTAAAATGCTATGAGAAGGGAAGGAAACAGGCCCCACGACGTAGGAAGTAGTGAAGGAAGTAGTAAAAGCTGGCAGTGCAGAGTGAGGGAACCGTTTGGGCAGTTAGATAAATGCTATGAGAAGGGATGGAAACAGGTCTATGACGTAGGAAATGGTGAAGGAAGTAGTAAGGCTTGCAGTGCAGGGTGTGGGAAGTGAATTTGGCAATTACATTAATGTATCTGGAATCCTAAAATGCTATGGGATGAGAGGGAAACAGGTCCACGACGTAGGGGATGGTAAAGGAAGTAGTAAAGGTGGGCAGTGTTGAGTGTGGTAATGGATTAATGTATCTGCAATGCTAAAATGCTATGGGAAGATACTGTAGACTGTAGGTTAAAATGATTATGAAGCACGAATCGTTACATATTTCGATACGTATTCAATAGTTTACAATAGAAATTTACAACTGAGTAGACAACAACTGAGTTTTACTCCATAGAGGCTAAAAACGAATTTTTTCCCCTAAAGAGTAAAAATGCTACTTTAGACCCGCAATGCATGCACCAATGACGACTGTTTTTACTGCAGTATGACAAAAACAATATAAAATGAACCCTTGATGACTCCGCTCAATTTTGTGGATGCCTCTGCGAACGCCACCTAGTAGTGATTACCTTCAAGTCTGTAAGTTACTGGTTTGTTCTTAAGCTGTCCATGCTGGACCCATAGGCCGTTGTCATGGGGCTATCATAATACTTCTATTAATAAAAATATAGATGAAAAATTGAGAAAAACCCATATTTTCTCGAAAAAACATCCAATGACATAGAAGAACACCAAGGGCTTTACAGAGATAAATGCAAAATGTTTAGATATCCGCAAAGGATATCATTATATCCAGCAATAATCTTAAAGAGAGGGCCCATCAAAGAGAGAGTTACCAAGCTATGGTGTGGAAACGACTAGGCTTGCGGTAGGTGTACGTAAATTCACTTTTATTTCAGATATTAACTTAACAAGCAATTTAATCGTGTCCGTTTCTACTATACGTATTTATTTGTATTTATAAAATTCCAATTACGTAATACAGATGCAAAATAAAACATTACATTTTCTACATGGTTCATCTTAAGTAACATAAGTTAACTAAGTATTTTGGCAATGGTTCTTTAGGTAAGTTGTAGAAGAGACTTTGGCCGAGAAAGAGTGACGGTTGCCTCTTGGAAGCCAATTTCCCGCGCACGCGATATTATCTGCGACAGATAACCGTAGGAGGGGGAAATATAAACGAGGGAAAATATCATGAAAGGAAAAGACCGCTAATAGTTAAGAGACACAATCTGTTACGCATCTTATTATATCTACTCACTTTTCGTAAATATTGTTGTATTAATGTGAAGCGTGCTCTAAAGTTATCAGTAGGCTAATGTTTTTAAATACAAAAAAAGTAATATTGGAAAAATATAATTGATTTGTGTAACGAAATAGAAGTGAAAGGAGGAAATATATTTTGGAAATACTGTGGAAAATTAAAAACTAACCGTAAGCATATATTGTTATATATTTTTTTTGAATTTTGCAAATATGTATCTTTGATTGTAACATCATTATCAGGAACATACAGTAGAAGACTGTATACGAAAATGTTCTCCTTAAATGTGAATACAAAATCCTAGGCATGCATCCGGAGGTTGTTCAATTTTAAAAAGTAAAAATAGGTTATATACATATCCTAAAAGACTGCTATGCGACTATTTTTCATGACTTAGGCGTAAAAGGATTTAAAAGTATAACCAATTTGACAGTTAAAACTATAATATTGTCATTAGGACGTTAAGTTTACATTCGTGTAAAAACTGTAATATTATCTATAGAAAAGTTATTATCTTTATAAATTGGTCCCATTTACTGTATAAATAACATTATCAGCTAACTTACAACTTAATAAACTAACAGTTTTATTTTTATCTAGTAAGGTAAAACTAGAAAGCTTATCTAAGTTCCTTAGGTTTTACCTAGACAATGAAATTCCCAAGTTCCGTTCCTTCGTCGTAATACGTTACGTGTTCTGTATTCTTATTTGACTCTTTAAAACCTCTGCCAGTTTTCAGCTATTTTACTGAGAAATAAGTATGACTAACATTGAATAAAAATTTAATCACTTTAGTTTTTTTGGCATTTCTGACAATGATATAAGGATAAAAGCATTTTTGGTACAGCGAAAAACATCTGGAGATCTTTTTGTATTATTTAGGTCTACTTTTTTTCAACTACGAACTGAACTTGGGATGCAAAATGACGGAACATTCACCCATTACAAGCTGAGCCCTATCTTAACCTAGCGATTGAATGTGTATGAATTTGAAAATTTCCACTAAACGATTCCCACACAATTTTCATAGTAACAAATATATTAATATTTTACTTATAATTGCACGCTGCAGTCTCAGAAAAGGAAATAAGACAGTGGTAAGTAAATTGAAATAATTCCTTTCGGTTACAATTTTGTATTTCCACAAACAAACTAAAAATACAATCATTTCAGATGACATAACTAGGAATCGCGTTATTCATTTATGGTATAATGTCTTCAAACACATTTTTGTGGGATTCCATTAGTCGGCTATTTTGTTGGGATGTCAAAACTATTTACGCATGCAAATCTGGTATCCTTCATTATTTTTGTTTTTCAGTATATTGTTTAGGTATCTATTTCTGTTCGGCTAGAAGTTTATGAATAAATACGATGAGATTGAAACACGTTACTTGAAATTCATATACATATTTTGGGAAATAAATAATTATGTAGACAATTTTGTAAAGAATAAAAAATGAATGAATAGCTTTTTAAACCATTCTTGTCAATTTTTTTCAGGCACAAAGGATTCCTAAAAGACTGTCCCAATGGGCTTCTAACGGAGCAGGTATTTGTATGCAATTCTTATGCAATATACTTTTTGATTAAATATACAATTTTTATTACGCAATACATACTCAATTGTTAAATAACTTTCCATCTATTAGGTAAATCGTTACAATTATTTTATGGTTATTTTAAACAGTGTCACTTTAGGTTACTAGGTATTAATAGTGCTAAACGTCCTATGTTGACTTGTTGACCATGTTATTTTAAGTAAAATAGAGTTACTGAAGTTGACTGCTTGTTTATAGGCATACAACTTTATTTGTTGACTTTAAAAAGTTAATAACCCAAACGGTTTTGGAGTTCCTCAAAGCTTTAATATTCTTTGAGTAAATTTAATTTAAGCCGGGAAAAGCTCCAAAAGTAAATTTCGTTTCAAAGTGAACCCTTTTGAATGAAAATAATCTGGAACTTATTAAAATGTGTTCAGTTTATTTTTCGATTAGTAGACAAAATCTTCTACAGGGAAATAAACAGTATAGTGACATTTTTATATTCTTTTCTTTGTTTCAGGGTTTCATAAAAATATATAGACAGTTTTTTCCACAAGGGGATCCTACGAAGTTTGCCTCACTAGTGTTTAGGGTCTTCGATGAAAATAATGTGAGTAAATGACCTAATTATAATTTTTTTTTTAGTAAGTATTAAAAGGGTTATAATACTTTTTATAAGAGTGTTGATCAATGTATTTTGTAATGTTGTGCTTAAAATAAATTTATTAAAATTGTGTTGGTTATATGGTTATATGGCTTATATGGTTTTTAATATTTTGTTTATACATAGATCATCTTGAATTTATTTCACTGAAATTGTTTTTAATAAAGTCTATTTAGGACTCAAGCGTTTTATACGGTACTAATAAAATACGTTGCTTTATTATGTTAACATAAAACATCATTCTAAATATATCTAATGTTTTTTCTGGTTAAGCAAACTCGTATGTGGTCTTTGGATACCTTTACAGCATGGATGTAATTATTCATTTTAGTAATGAATAAAACTATAAAAACTGAAGTTAACTAAGTTTTAAACTTCTGCACTTTTTGATAAGATATACCCTACTTCAAATTTAAATTAAATCTCGCATAGAAAACATTCTAAGATATTAAGTGCGGGGTGTTTATAGAATAATGTTATAGTATACTTTTAAAACAATACCCCCGCCGCAGCAAACCTGCCGACTAAGCGTATTTCCATTTGTCTGAATTGATTTTCAGTTAAATTATATTTTAATAACATTAGGTTTAACGAGTACCTAGGTTTGCTGCTACAAGGAAACAAATAAAGTGTGTTTTTGAGTAAAATATTGATAGCTTAGTACAAAATAAATAAATTTGACAAGTTTGATCAAAATATATTCATAAACAAGCAAACTACAACATTTGACAATATTCTCCATAAGAATAACATGGGAATTTTAAATTTACAATTTTTTAAATTTTCTCCGTTACTAATAATTGAACAAAAATACTTTTATATACTAAATTATTTGTTTTTTTAAGCTCTTTAAAAAGGTCTAAACAGAAATTGGGAAATTTTGTGTTTTGAGGGGCAAAAGTGAGAAAAACCAATTTTTACCCCATAAAACCCCCCGTAAAGTCCCGTTCCCATGGTCCGATCGTGCTGGTTCGCGAACTCATTCAAGTTTATCCCGCTTTACACCTTTAAACCAAATTTCATCAAAATCGGACAAAAATTACTCAAGTTATCGCGTTCACGGACGTATATATATATATATATATATATATATATTAAAATTAAAACATATTTAAAAGTACCCTTTTAGTAATTATTTTATTTTTCATGACGACATGTTTCGGAACTAAGTCCATTGTCAAGTCATTTTTACCATAACCTCATTCTTATAAGAATGAGGTTATGGTAAAAATGACTTGACAATGGACTTAGTTCCGAAACATGTCGTCATGAAAAATAAAATAATTACTAAAAGGGTACTTTGTTATATATGTTTTAATTTTATTATATTAGTAGCCCTAAAAATGCAAGAAAATAATAATATATATATATATATATATATATAAATACATATAAAAAAATTTGAACGAATAGTGTTTCTGGCCTCTGGGGACATCAAAATGAAAAAGTAAATCGGTCCCGGGTCTAGGTCTTACCGTGCCACCTACGGTAATAGCTACTTCCCTATAGGGAAATTCGCTAAAAAGAAAGTAACTTTCATACATAGTAAAATGCTTATACTATTTCTAACTAAATACACTTTGATCTTACGCAAATGAGTGGTTACATTTGTTACTCACCAGATATAAAATCTGCAGCCTATTTTGCGCTACACTACATATCCCTTTATGAATGTAGTGAACACTGCATTTATTAGGTTTACTAACCAATTAGCTGAATTGTAAAGTCAATTCTGTGTCATAAGAGACAATATCCATCTACATCTATCAGTGTGTTAATTTAAAATAATAAAAACTATGAGTTATAACATTCAACGCATGTGTTTTAACGTATGAAAGCAAAACTATTTGAACTACAGTATTCATGGATATGAAATTCTGCTTATTTTAATAAACAAAAACTCATCATTATTTTATAAAGAATTTGGATCTATAATTTACAAAAAAGATATCGCATGACCGGACAAAGACGAATAAAGAATTTTGGATCCTCGTTAAATGTGATCATTAGTAACCACATTTTGTTCAACATTGATCCAGTTTATGCATGGAGATTACTTTCATTTTTCAGGATGGTTCAATCGAATTCGAGGAGTTTATTCGAGCACTTTCTGTGACGTCGAGGGGGAATCTGGACGAAAAACTTCATTGTAAGTATAACTGTTAACTTTTCATGCGTTTTCTTATCTTGTTTTTACTATTATAACTGTCTAAGCTACGTTAATAATATTAACACAGTACTTCATATTTTCCCGCACTGAATAAAAAAAAATAATATTTTGAATTTTTTATATTTGTATAGAAAGAAATGTGTATATGACTCAGGAGTAACTAAAATTAAATGTTTCGAGCTAATCTAAAATGGCTAGTTAACAAAGCAAAACTATTGTATTGTATTATGGGGGAAAATTGGGAAAACCCTGAGGTTACACAAGCCAGTGGCATTTCTTGAATACTGTTTAAATAATCGGGTTTCTTAGTAATAGTGCAAAACGTCGAGATTTTTTTCAGATGGCAGTATTGGTTAGTAATTGAAAAAATAGTAACTAAGTCAAGACTTCGTACTTTATATGATCAACTTAGCAACCTTTGGATATGAAAGTAAGAACTTGCTTTTCCCCCCCTTATTGGTCCTCGGAATCTAGTTCTCCCTTTTTTGAAACACATTAATTACAGTCACACTAAGTTTGCGTTCACAAAAAGCAACATTTTTTTAAATTTCGTAGCCTCTCTTAACCTTAAATTCACCCGTACACGTTGTCCTCTTAGGACTCTGTGCCCTCTGTTCTCATGGAGACGCTTGAGCTTGGTTTGCAAAGCAAGGGTTAACAGGCAAAGTACAAGAATGGCCCGTACTGATAATTTTATATTAGCGGCCCCTTTAGTAGACCTTTGTTTTGGACTTTGGTACGCGGTTTGGTTTTACAGTCTGAGCCACTGATTCATCATAGCACGATCCCCTAAGATCTGTTATCAACATTCTTTCCATCCAAAAACTGTATATAGGCCATTCTGAAATCAAGCGGAATTTTTTGTCCCTCAATGTTTTCTACCCTATAAAAAAAACTAATTTATATAAACTTAATATTTTTTATAAATAAATCAAGTGTGTATTTAAAAGATCCCAATGTTATTTTATTTAAATAATTTTACGTTTAAGAGATAAAATCTGTGAAGTACCCGAGGTGTAACCACGATGGCATGCCCCACCCATTTATTAAAACACTGACAAGTGATTTATGAAACAAATCATTGAATTATATAACAAATTCTCGATATCAGTAATAAAATATACAGTATGACCTAGACTTAACACAATCTTAACAATTGTTACATAAATATCTAATTAGCTTAATATAAGGGCAAATGTTGTAGATGGGGTTAGACGTAACTTCCATGAACCATATAAAAGTTCTAAAAGTGCTCACTGGAGAGCAACACTGACCATTAATGGAGTTTTGAGAGAGAAGGGGGCAGTCATATTGACTATTGAGGTTTCTGTTGATTGTTTTCTGCTGATGGTGTCCTACTTGCTGTTGATAAACAGGATTTCCTTTCTCGCAAAGCGAGTACCTTTTAAACTTGTAACCTCCATGTGTGCTACAAATAATGCGTGTCATATGCCAGTCATATGCCATATGACTGTCATATGCCATTAAAATTTTAACTTCTTTCAGAAAACATAAGATCTGGATATATGAATCTATAAGTTAGGATCTGCAAGTGACAGAAAAATGTAACTCTCATGGATAATTACTATGAATAATACAGCATTATTATATTACTAGTGGCTTGTAGGGACATAAGTCCCTAAAAATCTCAATAATACAAAACAAATTAGTCTAATATTCAAACATACTAAGAAATATATTATCCACGTGTCACACTGGATATCCCTTAACGCCATCTTTTAAGTAAAAAGCAGTTTGCTGTTTGTCTTTGTTTGCATTTTTGATGTTATTTTGACGTAACCCTAGATTTTTTCTGATCAACATAAAGAAACTACAATTAGTGTAAGTTTATGTGGTGGTATTCCTCTTAAAGGTGTGATTGACGTTACATATTCGATCAAATTTGGCCTAATCATCGGCTGATTCTTAACTCTTTTGCGACAACAGACATTACCTAAAATATCCAAACAATATTGTTTTTCCTCCCATTGGAACTTGTAATAGTACTTACTTAATTAACAAATATATATTTACTGTACGAACCTATTCCATCTTTATTCCCAGTAGTGTAGCCGTTGAGGTTATTCCACTTCATACAAAATATTGAATAAACACTACAATAAAATCTCAAATATAAAATAAAGAATGTGTAGAATAAATCATATGTTTTGGAATGAAAACAAAGCAGAAGTTTTCCATTTAATGATTTAATCTTGAATATTGTTAATTATTTAGTCAATGTGGATATTTCATGTTAAACGTTAAAATACACAAATTTGAAAAGTTTTACTGTAAAATAATTGATTTCCACATTCTAGCTATAACGTAACTAAAAGTCTTAATTATTATAGGTAACGTTATCCCTGGTTTTATATATAGTACATTGCAGAATTGACTGGCAAATAAGTAATCCAAATGTAATATTGCTCACTGGCTTGATGATAAATCACGACCAGCTGTTTTGAAGTAAACACAAATCAGCAGCAAATGGCTTATAATGCTATTCTTATGGAGAACATTTTACGCTATACCTCGTTTTCTGGTAACTTTACGGAAATTATGCTATTTTTGCCGAGTCCCTGGGGTCAAGACCTTTAATTTAAGACATCTACCACTTTTCTGCGACTTACCAGTCGTCCACAATTTTCTGGTAAAAATGTTGTCTTACAGAATTATATATAAGGATATTCATTCTTGACCTTTAAGAAGGGTGTATATGTATTTAGTTTGTTACTAGACTTTTAAAAATATATTAAAAATAAATATTATTCCTTAAACATGTGTTTAACAATTTTGGGCGGAAATTCCACTTAATTTCAGAATGGCCCATATTCTTGTATTACATACTTCACAATCTACTCTGCAGTAAATTATTTAAATATTTGCTCGTTACAGGGGCGTTCAGGTTGTACGACGTTGACAACGATGGCTTCATCACGAGAGATGAGATGTACAACATCGTCGATGCAATATACCAGATGGTTGTAAGTACTGTACGAGTTCAATTAAACTTTTAGTAAGGCTGGTTTTATGCACCGCGACAGTCGCGAGTCGCGCCACGTCTTGCGGCTGACAAAAATGTCACGCGACAGCGACACTTTTTTGTCGCGTAAACTCACATCCGGTGGTGGGGGAATTAAAGAAATCAGTCTGTTCTCAATCCAATGTTGTGTGTTGTGTTTTGATGTAGAAGTGATTATTAAGTTGTTTAAATAGACCCTGTAGTGTTGTACACGTTAATGACAAAACCCCAGTTATTTAAACAACACATACAATTTACTGTTGGAATTGGGTCAACCCTCTTAAAAATGTCATTACACAATATAATGATGTAACTTATATTACAAATAAATAGTAAAGAACTCATTTATATACTAATTATTAACATTAATCAATATAAGTATATGGAGAATATACCACGTGGAGTATGAAAAATACTACTGTCGCGCCGCGACTGTCGCGGTGCATAAACGTGCCCATTTGATCCAATAGAACTTGAACCGCGCGCGACACAATTTTTGAAGCTGCGATTCTAAAACCTGTCGCGGGTATTTAGAGTCGCTCCGCGGCAGTTTGTCGCTGTCGCGGTGCATAAATGCTCCCATTTAACTCAATAGAACTTGAGTCGCGCCGCGACACGCGACACGCGACTGTCGCGGTGCATAAAACCGGCCTAACATTACTCTCAATCTTCACTCAGCAAAATTTCTTATTTGGTCAAAAACTTAAAAGTGACACAACATTATTATATTTTTGCGTTAAATTATGGTTAGCAAAAGCCTTTTCTTTAAAGAATTTAATTTATTAGTTGAATCGATGGGTTGGTTTTTGTCTATTCAATTGAAGCTAGATCAATTAATTTAATCAAATATTGTAAGATTTCAAAGGGAAATTTTTGTTTGTTTAAAAACTTATAGTTAATACTACGAGAGCAAATTATTTGATAACGTTATAAAAATTTGTAACGTTTGAAAATTAGTTTTTGTGATATCAACCTGTAGTTCCAACCAGAAGATAAAAAAGGTGGAAAACTTTTCAGGCGGAATTTTTTTCGTATAATATTACAATATGGATATGTTCCACAAACATAGAACACAAAGGAAAATACATTCAAAATGTATGTCATGCAACGCATCAAAGCACACTAAAACAGACATTCAGCTTTATTTATTGGAGCATAAGTTTTTTCACTCCATTGAAGATTGTGTACAATTCAACAAAATATCGCATACATCGGTTCAACGATCTGATATGTCCCTTGGCTTTTCTTCTCCTCAAGCTTCAAAAACTCTTAGAAATTTAAATTCAAATTTAGGCATTATATTTAAAGTTTGTTTAGTAAGTTACTATTGATAATTTTTCAAGCTATGTTTTAAAATATCGCATTGACCTTTACCTAATTATCTAAATTTATGTTGCCAAGCTATTCACGCATCGGAAGAGCTAGTTTCTATTCTCTGATAAGGCCTATATGGTAATTTTATATTACAAGAAACCATATCGCTTATTTTATGGTCTTGTAGTTAAAGTTCCTCATTTTAAATTTATATTATCCAATAGTCAAATTGTTGTTTACTGTTTATAGGCTACGATGCTTTCATTACTGTATTTATCATCATTGCTATGTTACTGCTATTTTTTTTCCATTAAAGGTGTATACTATCGAGATTGCTATCACTGTTTTTTTTCATAATCTTTCTATCAGTGATTAAAAGTCCTTAACTGCATGAATAGTAATAATATAATTATAATTATATTATTACTAATAATAATATTATTATTATAGTATTATAAAATACTATGATTGTCTGGGGATCCGAGTGGTTATACCGTTCGCCTTCAAATTTGAAGATCGCGCTGGTTCAAATCCATTCTAGATCGTTTCCAGACCCAGATGCCATTTGCCTTTGGGCTATGAATTAATGACGCTGCCTAACAAAAAGGTCGACATTAGGTAGTAACAAGACCAGGAGTTAGATCGTTTCCTTTCAAAGCGTAAAAAATGCATCTGGCCTAAAAACACACAAAATAAAAAACATCTTTTTTTGGGGTGTATTACAGTAATTTAGCCTCACGATCAGTATAAAAATAATTTTTCGTTGAGGACCTTGAATCTAATCCTATTCTAAAACTGCCTAAAATATAGCGAGATTAATTCCATACAAAACCAGCCAAAGCTGACATCAAATCCCAGAGAACTGAATTCTAGTCAAAAAATAAGCTAAATACCCTAAAATAATACATAAATTTGTACAAATATATGGTAGGTGTACGCAACGAACATGTCTGCAAAAGATAGTGGCTGGTCAGATTTAAGATCCCAAACGTCGTGAAAATTAGTTTTTATTACCTTAATCCTCAACGTTAACGTATGTACAACGTTACATACATGTGATACACGTGATGGGCTTTTAACAAAAACCATTTACTCTACCTTCATAACATTTCCTGACCTTTTTGTGTGTTGCAGGGCCAACAGCCACAAGCGGAGGATGAGAACACGCCACAGAAGCGAGTGGACAAGATCTTCGACCAGATGGACAAGAACCACGACGACCGACTGACCCTGGAGGAGTTCCGGGAAGGCAGCAAGGCAGATCCTCGCATAGTCCAGGCCTTGTCCCTAGGCACCGACCGCCCGGAGAGAGACAGTTCCACCTCGACCGCGTAAGACCAGGAGCAGTAGGGAGTGTTCAACTGACGGAACTTATAACCAGAAAGTGATTGAGCTCAGTACGGACTTCAATAAGCACTGTTAAGTTCCCAGATTCCAGGATTTTTCAAATGTTTCAATAGCTTGTCATTTCGAGATTTGGAATTGTAAATGCTTTTGAATTAAAGCGGTTCAAATATCAAAAATCTTCGATGGCAAGGGAATAAAACCCATCCCTCTTTTACTGAACTTTAAGACGTTATCCAGGCTAACAAAATACCCAGGCTAAGCTATTTTGGTTCTTAATTTTGATGATAAACATTCTTTACTATAAGAGCAATCGCAGGTTTAATTTTCCTGAGGAATAAACAGAACTGTAATTGGAAAGCGATAGAAAAATAGGCTTGTTATTGGATCAAAATCAGGAATTAAAAAGTATTTTAGGTTTTTATGGCATTTAAAGCTCACACCTAGGAGCGAAATCAAATTCACTATTCTTACTCGTCATTTGCATTTAATCCAATAACGAAAGGGGAAAATGTTTTTGATTGATATGTAAAATATAACCTACAACTGTTAAATTAATTTTGTGAAAAGGGATATTTGACACACATATACTGTATAATAAAGTGACATGTAAGGGATAGTGATTCAAAAAAGTTGTATAGCTCAAATTACAGACAAACCAGCTTTTTCTTTACTATCCAAGTCATGAACATGTTGGTTGTATAGATTTTTTAGTTTTAACTGGGTTGAAAAATAAATTTGTAAAATTATTTAAAATGTTATACGTAATGATAGATGAGACCTCGAATAAAATCCTAAAGATGAAATGAGTCGTCTATATCAGTCAAAATTAACTAAAAAATATTTTTATTGTATAAGTAATCAAGAATCTTTTTTCGAACTAACAAATACGTTTTCCTTGTTTCAAGGGATAGTTAACACGTGCTTAATGAAGTCCCAACAGACCCTAGTTGAGATCCTATGTTTCTTCATGATAGTACTCAAATGTGTTCATCTGATCTTGATAAAGAATGTTGGAGGTCGAAACATAAGTACTGTCCAAGGTTTCTAGGAACTTTTGCCTAGAAAAGTTAGAGCGTCGATGGGATTTCAACGTGAATTCTAAAATCTGTGTGCAAAGTTTTCTTCAAAGTGTTGGAAAGTGTTGGTGAGTTGTGAAGACATTGACAATCTACAGTTTTATCTGAAGCTTTTTTGAATTCGTACAGTTCCATTAGTGTTGCATATTTATATTGCCCGTTTTAGAGCGAAAACCAAATTTGTCTTAGGTCATACTAATTTATTTTGATCACTATTTATTTCAATGTAATCTTGCTCAGTAGTACTATTTAGTTAGAAAAATAGGCTAGATATGTCCAAGTACGACCTAAACATAGCTATGGCCTTATTCATTGCGCTTTGATTTGTTATGTTTGCTTTTAAACTGGGTGGAGTATAAGAGATGGCTTTTTACTATAGATTGATTGTAAAATACTGTGCTTACTTTCCAATTCTGTTTATGACAAAAGAGTGTTTTATGTTCTGTGATATTTTAAATCCATAGATAAAATTTATAGCATTATTAGTTTCATTTCATGCAGAATTTTAAGAAACTTGTGTTAAAGGTAAGAATTAATTTATGTAATATAAATTTCCCTTCAAAAATCACAGTTAATACAGAAATGATGTTAGCTTAACATTTAGGTATACTTATAATGTAATGGTGAAAGTGATCCAAAACTATGACAAAAGGAAAAATAAGTAATACATGTTTTCCTTACATAAGTTTATCTACAAAATGTTAACAAATCATTATTCAATGTTAAATGATTTTTAGTTTTTTAAATGGACATCTTCTGATTTTAAATACATACAAGGGTTTAGCCCGTCCTACGTATGCACATCTTCAGATTTAAATGTCTTGCTTAGCAAGACATTCGAGCCTGGAGAGACCCACACATACTAAATGCAGTTTTTGTTACATTCTTCCACGGTTGAAAATCACATTCACATAAATAACAACAGTTTAATATCGTAGTAAGCACAATATTTTACGTAAAAGCGTGACGGCTCTGACACTTCCTTCAGAAATCGAATAAATAATTTGGTGTTCGCTCGTATTATACTGTTTTATATCGCGATGTCATCATTTGTGTAATATATTAAGAGTGTTGTTCATTTGAATATTTTTGTATAAATATAACGATATTATTGTATTTGTAAAGTACTTATTTGAATCTGAATTGTTAAAAGTGTACATATTATAACATAATATAGCTGTATGAATTGTTAAGAGTATGCACACAAATCACATCTCTATTATATAATTTATCCAGCCAACATAGTTATATAGCTTCCGTCCGTGCGCGGAGTCACTCGCAGTGCAATGCTGCCAAAGAATATATTTAGTTAAATATTTTAAATATGTGTAAATTTTTTCATGTGTACAAATTAAGTTTATTGCAAAAGTTCTTGACAAAATGTTGTTTTGTCGAAGATACAAGTATGTTTGAACTTAATACTTGTTTTTTAGATGCAATCATCTTTATTTAACCATTAAAATTGGTTATTTTCTTATTTTAAGACAACACATTTGTCTTTCATGTGTTTCTTTTAATATTATGCAATTTTAAAATGTTGCATTGATTTATAATTTACTAGGTAAGCTAGTTATTGGTTTTAAGAACGAAATTTCAAAAGAATTTAAACTTCTTAAGAAAAAATTTGATCAAGTATTGAATTTAGTATAACATCATTTAAAAAAGTATGATTCAAAATAATTGAAATAGTAGTAATTTTTATCTAAAATAATTATCAAGAAAATAGTGTAAAGTCTTTTTTTTAATATTTATTACATCATCTTTATAATATCATCATACGGGTACGGCATTCTAAATTAGCTACATCACCCGATTTTCTAAATACAGTTACGTTTCTTACTAACATTTTATTACGGAAAGAGAATAAATAAATGATTACAATATGATGGAATGGATTTTTACACCAAGTTTATTTGAACCATTTCTCCAATTTCTTTGTCTAAGCAATAGTTTAATGATTTATCAAACTATGTAATGATGGGATTTATCAGTTCTAAAGCCCGTTATTACAATATTGTACTGTACTAACTCTCCCATTACACGGTCAAATGCTTACTAATTTAGCAGCTTCACAGTTAAACAATACTTACCAGTATTACAGTATTCACTACTACAATTGACTTGGATACTGCTAATAGACTTTTCATCCTATAGATTTTACTGAAGATTGCTACAGCGTGTGTTTCATATCCAACACTTAAGTGCGTTAATGTCGAAATTTTTTTTCCTCTTATTTTACAGAAGATTTTTCAGCGAAGCTTTTAACACTGGTTATAGGCCTAATAATAAATTACATCCTTGTTAATAACCAGATTGACCTGAAACTATAAATAAGACATTAGTGCACTAACATGCAACCAAGCAAAGATATTGTTAAAACCTGTCGTCAGGTTATTCATAAGGATAATGAATTTACCATGGAGTATGTTCCCTCTATGCAGCTACAGTACCGTGTATCCGTGCAATATGCTTATGCTGTACATAGTTTATTTATAGTGTTTTTACCAAACATCGTTTAATATCTTAGTATAGTGGTATTGTTATATAAACAATATAACCCATGCTTATTTATTATGTAAACACAACTCAAAGCAAGAGCTGAAATCAGTTTTATCATTTTTGACTCTATTAAAATGATGTTTAAAATGTAGTTAAATTCATAAATCACTTCCTACATTTATTTTTATTAATACAATGAGTCAGTCTTAGATATCGAATTACAAATTTGTAAAAATCAGAGACTCTTCGGTTAGTGAATGTTTCAAGCTAAACCGCCAAAATGCAAATCACTTAACTGTGTTTATTTTTCTGACTAATTTGGTGAGCCTAGCTTGTCAATGTTGTGTACGAATCCAATGAAAGATATAATTAATTTGTGGCTTGTTTTGGAATCTAAAAGTGCATACACTTCTGCATGCTAACATTTACTATTTCGCTTTCAATATTTTTAGATAAACGAATCAACTCATAAATGTAATAAAATAACTAAACATCTAAATAGAATCATTGTTGTTGTTGATGTTGTTATTGTTAACGTTAAGTTATTTTCTACTTATCAGTTTGATGTTAACAAATTTGGACTGTTAAATGTGTGAATACCAGTGATGAATGCCTCATTCTTTGCAATATTTTGTTATATTTAAGGCAATAAAACTAATTATATTAAAACGTTGATTTAATTACCTTCCACTTTTTACATGGACGTATGGTTTAATTATTTATCACAACTTGACTTGAAGGAAATTGATTAAAGTAATTCAAAGACTCATGAACAAGGATCAGTATGAATAAAAATAAATTTATATTTTATATGTATATGTGTAAACTTCATAATAGTCCCTTTTATTTAGACATTGATGGACAGTGTGGTTAACCTTAATAGAAAAGAAGGACATCAGTTAAAAATCATGAATGTTTACGAAATAAATTTCATTGTAGTGTGAGTAGCCTCCGGATTGCGAATAATAACTAGTGATAGTGGTTTACGAGTAAATACCTTATTCATGCATTCCTATTGTTGTCTTCACAACTATTTTCGACCTGCTAGGAGGCCATCATCAGGTGTGTACATTGTACAAGGACGATTTGTACTTCATATGAAGGTCGTCAGTAACAGTTTTTATTTAATTTAGACAAACACACGACAAATAAACACATAGCACGCACACCTATACAGCCGATAAATTATAACATCGACCTAAATTTCATAAAATTCCAAATCATTCTAAGAATCAGTAATTTTGTTCAACTTGTCATTTTTAGCGAATTTCCCTATGAAGTAGCTATTACCGTAGGTGGCACGGTAAGACCTAGGCCCGGGACCGATTTACTTGTTCATTTTGATGTCCCCAGAGGCCAAAAAACACTATTCGTTCAAATTTGTATATATCCTACTAATATTATAAATGAGAAAGTTTGGATGTATGGATGGATGTATGTATGTATGTTTGTGACAAGTAAACGCGAAAAATGCTGGTCGGATTAGGCTGAAATTTGGTATGATGATAGCTCACATTCCCGATTAACATATAGACGCATTTTTATCTCAAAAGTCCTTTCGGGCTTCACCCCAGTGGCTCTGGAGTTTAACATGTTAACCTTATATTTAAAAGGAATAAAATAATTTTGTCAGCTGTTTCAACTATCCAAGTTGGTTCTATGATATTGAATAGCATTAAAAAATTACAAGGTTTACCAACAGGGTACAGTACTATTATTTTTTTTTTCATTTATGACAACATCTATTATAGCCTATAAAGGCCATAAAGGTTAAATTTTGTTATTAAAAGGCTTATGTGTAACTATTTTATCAACCGATGTAAAGATCAAAATGTTTCTATTTCGTGTTCTCTGCCCGTTGCAAAGCACGGGTACAACAGCTAGTGTATATATATATATTATATATATAAATACATCCGTGAACGCGATAACTTGAGTAATTTTTGTCCGATTTTGATGAAATTTGGTTTGAAGGTGTAAGGCGGTATAAACTTGAATGATCTAATTTTTGACCCTCAAAACACAAAATTTCTCAACTTCTCTCTAGACCTTGTTAAAGAGCTTAAACAGCAAATAATTTAGTATATCAAAGTGTTTTTGTACGGTTATTGATACCGAAAAAATTCCAAAAATTGTAAATTTAAAATTTCCATGTTATTCTTATGGAGAAAATTGTAAAATGATATAGTTTGCTTGTTTATTGATATATTTGGATTAAACTTGGCCAATTTATTTATTTTATACTAAGCTATTAATATTTTACTAAAAACCTCGCTTAATTAGTTTTCTTGTAGCAGCACCCCTAGGTACTTGTTAAACCTAATGTTATTTGAATTGATTTAAATTGAAAATCAGTTCCGACAAATGGAAATTCGCTTAGTCGGCAGGTATGCTGCGGCGGGGGTATTATAATATAAATTCGAAGACGCTATCTACAAATGTTAAAGTAAAACGATTGGCAATCATCTTTAGCTACTTGAGGTAAATGATTCCAATATTTGGTAGTACGTTTAAGAAGACCTGAAATCAATTTCAGTCTGAAAATTTTAACTTTAAATGTGCCATAACACATTTAATTTTAGTTGTACAGTATACTGCTTTTTTGAACTTATAACATTTCCTACGTTTAAATCCATTGTATTGTTAAAAGAAAATTATATTGAAGTAAAATACCGAAAAGTACTTATTTGTACTGCCTCGAATTATTATTCTATTCTTTTGATTCTTAAAGACAGTTTTTAACAGCTGTTTTTAACATGTGCCTTTTTTATTCTGAAAATTTCGAGATTTGAATGTAACTCAAGAGTTTGAATAAGACTATTTTGACATCTGGTTTAGGTGGGAAAATCACTATGACCTATAGGGAGAATTTCTTATTGCTCATTGTTCTTCCAGGCAGATACATTTTCCTATTAAAATATTGGTTCACCCTGTACGAAATTATTATGACTACTAGCCTTGAGGCTGTAGATTGCAGATTTTGTAGATTTCAACCATGTGTGGAATAATCGTACTCTATATTTAACTCATCCGATAGCTAATAATATTTGAGTAAGGAGTACATGATCATATGAACATGAATATATAATCATTGCATTTGGAACATAGTCTGAGTGGAATATCTTTTGTACGTTAAATATTAATAAAAATAATAATAATACTAATTTTAATAATAATTAATATTATTTTCTTTCATGTTATGATGCAATTGGATTTTGCATTTTAGGAAGTAACTGCTTAAATTTGTCTTTTTACTGTCAAGTCAGTAGTAGTATAGGGAAATCAAATCAAGGTCGTCTAGGTGGAAACATTAATTGAATGTACAATGACAAATGACATTCATCCGGTCCATCATCAATCTACACGCATCAGAATTGCATTTAATTTTAATCATCTATTTTCAAATTATTGTAACGAAATAATTATTGCAGATTCTTTCATTGATGTTATGCGCACTTTTTACAATTTTCTGTAAAGAGGCAGTAATAATGTAGGAAATCTTGTACCAGCTATAACAACTGGCAGCCACTTACTCTTCCATACAGGTCATAACATGAATTTTATGGTTATGTTATAACTCTGGCAGATACTTTAAACAAAACTGTCCAATACTAGTCCAGAGAAGGTTGATATTCTTAGGTTTAAGGTGGCTACGAGTCCAAATAAAATAAGTGTTCAGCAGGTGTTAAGATTTGCCAAGAACCTAAGGATGATGGACTGAGTATAGTGGTTGACATAAAACTATACTATTATATAAAAATCTAATGGTGTCTATTTGTATGTGGGTTACTAATAGGTGCAAAAACTACTGAACCAACTAGGCTTAAATTTTACAAAAATATAGCTACCATACCAAGGACCATGATAGGACTATTCACATTTCGATACTGACCGTAGGCTTTGCCCCTTTGGCTTTAAAAGTTCTGAGGTGAACATTTTAAAAGTAAATATTGATTAATCTCCATAGCTGCGATGAGAACACTAAAAATGTTTGTTTACATTTGCTTTGACATGTCAATGTAAACAAGAAGAACTGCTAAACTGCATATTTCACAATATCAGACAGGCGATACAAAGAAATTAA